TAGCCTATTAATAGAGTTGGCTTCCATTGTGAGCTAAATGTGTGGGGGATTAGACTCCCGGTCCATCACACAGACTACTACCCTGAGCACATTACCCCACACATTTAGCTCACAATGGAAGCCAACTCTATTAATAGGCTACATCCACACTACTAACATTTTTAAACGCACATCCTTTGCTACGTTAACGGCGAGCGTCCGCACTACTTCGGAGTCTTAGAACCCCAAAAACGGAGGCGTTTGAAAACGTTAGCGACGACGTGTTAGTTTGAGAACGTCGGGGTCGAGCCGTAGTGTGGACGGGGAAACGATGACGTAGACACCCGTGTTCGCTACTTTATCGGGTTTTAGCAGTCATGACGTGTCGATCGACTACCAGTGGTTAATTCAACATGCATAAAAATGACCGGCCTTGCTGACTTTGTTTATACTAGAAGCAGTTAAATTGTGCAATATATTTTCATAATTCTACTACTGCCGACATGTGGAGGAAGCTAGCTGTTACTGGAGTGATTTGAGAGCGGCGTGTCCAGCGGCGTTATAAGCCCTACGAAGCGGACAATGGAAGTCACGGTTTGTGACTTTGTTCTGCACGACCATTGTGAAATTCACAAATAAACTGTAAAAGAACAAAAGCATAAATGTTCTCCAGTATGACAGGGACTTCCAGTCACCTGGCAGAGCTACGAGTTTGAGAACAGACAACGAAACAGTGAGAGACGTGTGTTGACCAACGTTAGTACCATAATCTAGTAAAACTTTAATTTGTAAGTATTCATTTTAAAGTAGAATTGATGTGTGACAGAGCGAGAGAGAGAAAGAGACAGAGAGAGAGAGAGACAGACCTGCAGTCTTGTAACATAGTTTGAAGAACAGAAGTTAGTTTATCGTTTTTCTAGAAAAACCTTTTCCAGCTTTAAGAGTCTTCAGGGTTCATATGAAGACATTTCCATGTCTGGCTAAATGTAAGAGAGCAGACATTTTGTTCAAACAGCTAAAAGGCCGAGTTGAAAAAATAAATTGAGTGTCTCAGGGACAAAGTGCTCCTAAAGGACAAGAGAGAGATTTTATAATGTTAACATGCTCTTACAGCAAACTCCACATTTCCTGTTGCTGCTTTTTGCAGAAACTCAGAATTACGTGTTGCATTTATTGAGGATTAGTCCCAGTAAATCTAAAGTGAAGCTACTGGTCTAATACAACTAACTCTCACTTGCCTACTAGCTTTGCTTAGTCTTTTTCGGATTTAAATCAGTTTAGAAATTATACTACATTTCCCATATTTTTAACCACTATTGTGGGTGGATTAGTTTTATTATTCCAATCACTTCCCCTCTGTTACTACACATATAATAGTCCAAGCTTTGATACTAGTGTATTATGAGTATTGATCGACACAGGATCTGTAGATTCCAGTCAAACCGAATCTGACGAATACCGACTGTACAAGATTAGACATATAAATGTACAAATGTCTTAATAATCTTTATAATATAAAACCTTAAAGACATAGCTGAGAGCTTGAGTGGGTGAAATATAACCTCATGGTTCACTAAAGTTATACCCCGATAAAAGAAATGATTTCTGTGACCAAAGAAAAAGTTAGATAAATAAGAAATGTAATACTAAAATATATACATTTTCAGTCATTAATATCTTATTAATATCCTTGTGATGACCACAGACCACAATAACAGTAGTAGTACATGTGATGCTGTGTCATCTGACTGCGCAGGCATTTCCTACATCGCCACAAATGTGCACAGTCAGCTCAGACTGATGGGAAAAGTCTTTCTTTATAGAGATTAAAACCAAAGCATGGCTAAGGGCTGTGTTAAAAACAGCAGTATAACGTTAGTTTATCTCATCGGTCATATTTCAGTGGAAGCTTCTCTGTATTTGAGGTTTAAGTCAAATTTACAACCATTTCAGAGTAAACAATATAAAAACGTTTTATTTTTTTGGACCTTAGTGGCCTCTTACATTAGCATACATTACATTTTGAGAAACAAAGAAGCAGCAGACGAGCCAAAAACGAGGCTACATGTTATTAGCAATTTGATAGCCAGCTGGCTAAAAGCTAGCATGAGTCGACTAACGTTAGCTACCGCTGCAACTCAGAACATAACATATTATTATGTTACAACGCTGTGTTTTGGGGTAAAATGCACTTGTATTACCACACCAGAACTGTGAGCAAGATGAAGTGTATCTACTGCAAACATAATAAAAGAAGACGGCTTACTAACCACAGGCCGCACCAAAGCACCGGGGTAAAGTTGAAACCCTAACGGACAAAACATTCCTCCACGCGCGGTTCTATGCCGAGCCCGGCTTGTCCGTCCGGCTAAGCTCGCTAGCCTTAGCTTAACGTAACATTAGCTACTGTACGTACTTAGCTTTATTTACATGCTAAATCGTCTGGTTTAACTGGAACAAAAAAACAACCATACCTCCTCACGATGCCAGTTTTAATCTTAATTTGCCGTATTCTTGGGTCTGCCATGGCTGTAGGTTGTGGGTATTACTCGGTTGTAGCCTGCAGTCTGTGGATGTAACGTGTGTTGGTTTACTGCTATGGAGCGTGTTCAAGCCGGAAAACAGAGACGACCAGTTGCGTGCAGATAAATCGAACTCTAGGAGCGGATGATCGTCGAGCGTGTGGATCTCAATGACCGTTCCAGTAGCCCTTTAGGCTAAAATTAATCACGTGTCAATTAAATAAAAAAATACTATTCTTGCAGAGAATCATTGTATTCTTTTAATATCAGTATACCAGAATGGATACATAATACAATATAATACAATATAATATAATATAATAAAAATTGTATTTATTTAATAATAATAATACTTATCATTATTATCATTATTACAGAAAGAAAGAAAGAAAGAAAGAAAATAAAAGGATTTAAACCAGATTGTACACGTTATTTAGATCTGAGGGTATAGTTGACATTTGGTGATGTCCTTTGGGTTTGGAGCAAAGTGGAAGGCCTCACTCAGCTTGACAATTAATTTAATTCGTACTTTTAGTGAGGTGGGAGGAATGTATTGACAGCTGCGGTTGTTCCACACTGAGAGAAGCCAGATGAGATGATCAAGGATATCTCAGCCGTCTCATCTACCTATACCTACCTACCTACCTACCTACCTATCCATCTATCCATCTATCCATTTAGTATCTATCTATTGATTTGCACATACAGTCTCCTGCCTCTAGCATGTGTTTCACTGTTAATGGTTCAATTAAAGAATAACCAGATGAATTAATAACCAGAATGACCGGCCCATCTTGTTTAAAACAAAAACAAAACAACAGTAAAATAACACACTTAGGTCTCACCTGATACTGAGTCCTGCTCTATATGTTTTCCAGTGTATTTAATGGTGTTTGCATTGACTTGACTTCTAACATTTCGTGTCAGTGAGCATTAAACTCTATATACAGACACATATAAGGTTGTATCAGCCAATTTCTTTATTTACACAGTATATCACTTAAGCTAAACAATTGACATGCTTATAAAGCTGTGTTACAAAGACAGCACATTCAATATCATTTGAATCTTTGTGCATCTGATATTGATTTGTGTGATCTATGAAAAAAGATTCAATTTCATAGTTTTCTTCGAGGCTGCTTGTGTTAAAAGAATATATATATATATATATATATATATATATATATATATATATATATATATATATATATATCATTATAATGGAGTCTTCAGCATGCCAATACCATTAAAAGTTCATGTTACTCAACTACATTTCTGCACATTATGGCGCAACAGCGTTCACACATCCTAACAATAGAATACTTATTATATACAGTACGTTACACAGACACTTTTAATGTCTTAATTGCTCATCACAGCTGATCATGATAACAAAACCTACAACTGATATCAAGGGTGGAGGAAAGGAAGACAGCTTGATGGAGGGAGGAAATTTACAACTTTGGCTTGCAAAGAAATCCACAACACAAAGTATTAAACCATAAAATTTGCAGTTGTGTGGTTTTCATGTTTTTTCATCTGTCAAAATGGAAAATATTTGTTCTTGTCATGATGAAAAACATGAGAAAAAAGTCCAATCTGAAGATGTTTGAGTAGAGCCAAAAAAAAAAAAAAAACATTGGATAATGCTGGTGTACAACCGAACATGTTGAGTCATCAGCAAGGTGGCGCTTCTAGTTGTAATACAATCCACCCATAATACAATATCATGTCTCTTTAGCTCATGTTTTACATATCCAGCCTCAAATTAAGGAAACATGAAAACATATACTGTAAATATTGTTATTATTCTCAACAAATATACATTTTGCTGCCAAAAAACCCCACATATTTCCTGTGAATGCGTTCATTTTTACACCACCACGTTTGATTTTCATTTAGACGTGACATTATTAAAGCCTGCAAATAGAGAGACTCATTAAATGCTGCTGCTTCTGCTTCTTACAAACTCAATTCCACCATAAATGATATTTTAAACTAAATTGATCATTATTACACACAATGTATTACTCTAAGCTGTAAAACAGACACGAAAAAGTAAATTAAGAAATTTTGAGGTACTTTACTTATATTTGATGATACTTTTTACTTCTTCACAATACTTGAGAGTAAAATCTTGAGAAGAAATTAAAATAAGCTCCATCAATTTAAACCTTAAAATAATGCCATAACAACAATCCAATAATATAATACTCTGTGAAAGACAGAGAAGGGTCATTTATCTGCATGATGAGTATATTTTTGGTAACATTTTCACTGCAGTATTATACTCATAATAACGTATTTGAACCCATCCTCCTCTTGCTCAACACTGATCAACCAGCACAAAAAGGGGTTCAATTAGAAACATGGACCAGGATTCCCTTCTAACGCAAAAATAATTATAATGAGTTGCTATTAATTTATATTATACCAAGACTAAACAGGTTAACATAATAGAGGAGAAACCAGTTCATTCTCTCTGCAACCGGAACGATGTAATGGTGTTAGATGAGATCTGCCATGCATTAATGCACGACGTTATTCAAAAAAGACATATTAATCCAAATGATGTGAGCTTTTCTAATTAATATATATATATATATATATATATATATATGTTTCTCTCTCACAGTCGGAGAAAACATGGCGCAGGTTTCTGCGTGCACGCGTGCCTCCTCCAGGCCTGCATGCACGAGAGAGAAAAACCAATACCGGCAGAAGCTCGTGTGATTGCATCTGAGAGGTGGGAAAACCCCGGGCTCTCTATCCCCCCCTCGTGCAGCTCCATGGCCGTTGATTATTGGTATTTTCCGAGTTTTCCAAACTAATAAGTGGCACTATCAAGCATTTGGAAGCGCCGCGAGAGTACAGACGGGCTGCTCGACTTAATTGATATTGAGCGAGGCGCTGGTAGGCGCGCACGGGGCCGCTGCTGGGTAATTTGCAGTTTAATCAGCGTTCGTAATGAGAGCCGCTGATTAGCGCGGGGTGGAAATAAAAGAGAGTTACAAGGAACGTCTGTCAGAGTCCGGTGATAATTCACGACTAATTGTAATGATTAGAGCAAACTGGATGACTTTGGAGTTTTCTAATGCGCCGCCGCCGCTCCTGTGTGCGTGTGTGTGTGTGTACTTGCAGTCTTTATGTTGTATATGAGCATGCATGCATGCATGCATGCGTGTGTGTGTGTGTGCGTGTGTGTGTGTGTGTGCGTGTGTGTGCAATTGCAAGATCGTTATATTCCTCAAAAAAAATCAGATATCAATTTGGCAATTTTCTCCATCAGAAATAGTGTCAGGCATCTGCGCGCGTGTGCGTAATAGCGCGTACGTGCGTGTTCGTGTTCGTGTGAGAGAGACAGAGAGACAGAGAGAGAGAGAGCGAGAGAGAGAGAGAGAGAGAGAACAAGGCTGAATCACATAGATTTGATTATCAAACCAAACAGCAAATTTATAACTGAGGAGGAGGAGGAGGAGGAGGATGGAGGATGGAGGAGGAGGAAGAGGAGGAGGAGGAGAAGGAGGAGGAGAAGGAGAGAGGGAGGGAGGGAGGAAATCGTTGATGGACTCTGCAGTGAGGGCGAGATGTATTCCTCGAGACGTGCCTCGGCCACTGCTGGAATAGCAAATGAGAAATTAGTGAGAAATGTGTGTATGAATGCCGACGGTCAATTAGTGAGAGGCGAGAGGAAGAGGACAGGAGGAGGAGGAAGAGGAGGAGGAGGAGGCGAGAGAATCAGCTGGTGCTCTCATAGTGCAGACGCGCACGCGCACACACACACGCGCACACACACACGCGCACACACCTTCTGTCTTCCCTCTCAGAAGCTTTATGTGATTTCCTTTGAATTCTAATAAAAGTTGAGGAAATAACATCTCTGACTGATGACAGAATAACAGAAGTGTTTCATTATTGGCTTTATTTCCTGCAAATATTAAAGGGTCAGTTCAGTCAAATAAAATAAAAAATCACTTACCTGCAGATAGTTTTCATCCATTTCGCTGTCAATAGACAGTTCTGTTAGAGTGGCTCACAGCATTGAGCAATTATCATGAACATGTTTTTTATTACTCTGGAACATCAAACTTCACGGTGAACAGTTTTCATATTAAAGTAGCTCTAATAAAATGTGTTCACAGTGTTTTAAAGTAACAGACATTGCTTCTATTAAAGGTTTATTGTGGCTCAGGTTATTTTTTACATTTTCAGTTCAGTGTTTTGTTTTTCCCACATGGGCAATATATCACAAACACACACACGTCGAACCAGAATCATCAGTAAAATATAGTTAAAATAGAACAAACTGTTATAATTTAACAGCAAAGTGTTGACAATAAGTGAAACAGGTACCACAGAACTGCAACGTCCACGATAGCACGTTTCCTGTTGCTCTCTGCACTATCAAAATAAAGGCAAAATAAGAACAAGTTCAAATAAATCAAACAATAAGATATAAAATAGGGACTTTTACTTCAGAGTGCAAATGAATAGAGCAGAGATAAAGTCTAAACCTCTGCAGCACCATTGGTCTTTACAAATAACTTTATTTTTATTCCGAACAGAAATAAGATACGAAATGTGATTTTATTTTTTTTTTTATTGTGGAAATGTGTCTAAAATATAGAATATTTCCATTTGATGGGACTCAATGTAAACAACATCTATAGCTTCAACGCAGAGCTGAAACAAGCTGATACACAATATATATGAGATGCTTTATGATCGTAAAGATGCTTGAAGGGAAAATAAAAAGGGGAAACTGGATGTTAAGGCTCATTATAATCAGACTTCTCTATTAAACGTTACAAGACTAAAGGTTAAAACACACTCAATCAATAATCAGTAAAATCTGCATTTTTGCCATTTGGATGGTCTGACCCTCTGGAGTGCAAGGACACCGAGGTGTTTACATTCATTTAACTTTATTAATATACCATGCAGAGACGAGCTGAACGTGATGACGTGATGCTTTTTCACACAGTGTCTCATTCATTTGTGTAGATCCGGAACTTACAGGCAGAATTCAACTTTCAGTGAAAAAGCCACAACAACTAGTTGAGATAAAATCCCTTTACATGTAAATAAACTAGAACTGTATTGGCAAGAATGTGGTGACACGATGCGTATCATGATGCCGGGGTT